CATGTCGGCCGCTGTTACATCCCCGACCGCTCTCAACACTGCGTATTCCAGGTTATCCCACACTAGTTCCTGGTATCTGTACTTCAACAAATATTTCAGCTTCGAAAATACCTCCTCGACAGGATTCAGATCTGGTGAATACACTGGGAGGAAAACGAGCTCCATTCCCAAATCGTTTAGGAAGCTTCGCAGAGCTCTTTCCGCTTCGCCATGATGCGCGGCTAGATTGTCCACCACAACAATGTCGCCAACTTCGAGAATTGGTCTTTGCGTTATTGGATCAACTGTTTGGGAAGCCTCATCAAAGAATCGTAAAAACTGTACAGATTTCGACGCTCCTTCTATGATGTTTCCATATTTCACTCCATCATACCCAACCAGAAAGTTCAGGGTGAGGTTTGCAGTAGACAAGTATCTTCGCGCTTCTACGCAATCTTCACCGACAGGTGAGAAACCAAAGTTTCTGTGACCGGCATCAGGCAGTCGAAAACCTGACTCATCGAAAAACGTAACAGAGGAAGGATCTTTGTCTTTTAAATAGTCAATGTACAACTGAGTGTACACTATATTTTCGGGAGTAAAACGCTCTGACGCACATTTCCCCAATCTTTTTCGGGAATAGTTGCGGCCACTTGGAAGTTTGTTCCTAATATTTCTGGAAATTGTTGATGTTGACAGTTCTCCGCAGTCACCGTGAATGGCCAAATCATCGCGCAGTTCTTTAAGAGAGGACGAACCTCTTGCTTGCACCATGGTCTCCAACAGAATAGAGTCTTGGAAAGTACACTTAGGAACTGTTCGAACGTGATTCAACTTTTTAGGAGCCGTGCTTCCAGTCAAGTTGTACTGCTTAACGATTTCTGAAACTGCACCCTTGCTGATGCGTAATCGTCTCCCAACTTCTGAAAAACAATAATCCTGCTCAAGTTCTTTTACTTGATTCCGCAAATCGCTTGAAAGTGGGACACCTTTTTGATAATTTCTTCCTTTCTTGTTGATTGAAAACATCTTCCCTTTGAGCAGTGCCGAGAAGGATAATTTCACATTTGGGCGGGAAAACTTCAAAGTTTGACACCTGAAACTCAGACGTTTGACGTCACATGAAAACATGTTTTGCGCGCGTGCGTTCACGGGTAGATGCAATCGACGGTATTGAATGATAGCGATTTGTATTGCAAAACTGTCAAATACTGCATTCTGTTGTCCGAGGTCTGTATGATAAAAACAGTGCCTCATAGTACTGTTTCACTTCAGATGTGATATATAAATGATATATAAGTTTGGTTTACACGAACCCAGATTTGTTGGCAATATTTTGTAAAGTAAACTTGTCGAACGCAAAAAATTCGGCCGGAACTTTTTTCCAGGCCTAATTAACCTACGGTGATCAAGAGCCATTATGGCTCTTAAAAAATGTGATCGAAGACGATTGCCAGTTTTTGGGTGTACATATGAGGTCATCAACTCGATGTAAGATTTGGTTCACTCTGGGGTTGTTTGCAAATTATTTTTGTCTAAAATCACTTAGCCTTTCCTTGAAAATTCACATAAAAGTGCTCTAAAGTTAACTGAATTGTGGAATACAAGATTATTGTTTGATTTAGATTATAAATTTATTAATGGAAGCCTCGCTTTTAGCCCAGGCTAAATCTATATATTCGTAACTTACAAGTCGCCAAGGATCAAGTGACCAAACTACTTTTAAAAACGGGAAAAATCAATTTAGTCATGGCTCATGGTTTTAGGTTCGGCAATTACTAGCTATGAAACGTGTTCTAAGAAATCATAGCTCCAGAACAAACAGTCCACAAGAATCCGGATATTTTTGAAACCGCATACTTTTTACATGATACCAGTGAATCCGATCACTAAAACCGCATTGTTTTGAAACCGCTCTTCAGTGCCGTTCAAGACCCCGTCCACACGAAGCCGGATAAAGGGTATGCGGGTTTCAAGAATGTCCAGATTCGTGTGGACATGGCCTTAGTTCTTCACAAAGTAGGGTTCCCGAATCCGGCCCCTGAAGAAAAGCCTTATTCTTGCGTTGGTCGTGACGGCGACCAGGCATTCGAACTCTCGCCACGCAACCACCTGGGATAAATTTCATAAAACGTTTCAAGTGTAGCTTTTTTTTTCCAGACTCTAAAACAATAGCCACACTTGTAAATTAACCACGCAACAGTTTTATTAAATTGTCCTCTCCATACACCGGTCTGGATACATCAACGAGCAACGACAACGTGAAATAACGTAGTTTTTTTCTTAAAAAAAAACATGTTTTAGTCTTTCCTGCTTTCCGGTTTTGTCATAAAACGATCTTTTAGTTGTTAACCGCTTGAAGCTCTATTTTTTCTGCTTTTTTTGCCAAATGACTTCAGCTAGGCTGCTAATAGTTACTAAGCAATACTAGCCAGGTTTAATTTTCACTTTTGAAGCGAGCGCAGGGGTTTCGAGCGTCGGTCCAGTTTCTTCCTTCCAGGCCAATCCCCTTCTGTAGGAGGACAAGCATCTTTTTTAAGTTTCACGCTTCTGTAGGTGTATCATTATAGTTTTCTTTAGGTTCTTCGTCCTTTCTTGTCGGATACGAGTGATGACCACGTGTGAATGGCCAACTTTCCACGAGACCAGCAATGTCCAAGAAGAGAGAACAACACTTCTCCTGGTTTGTTGGCAAGAGAAAAGTGAATTAACAATCCTTCATCGTTGGATCTCTTGGCTCATAGACCAATAGCTTGTAGTTTTTTGCTTTCGCTTTCGTTAATTTTCGCATTCTCCCTCATGCGCACCAGCGCAATGGCACCAAGAATCTTTCGGGGAAGTTATTGTGAAAACTTCCCGCCATTTCCAGTGAATGCTTTTGACCGTGATCTCTCCGACTGTCCAAAAATGGCAAAGTGAATTCGTTTCGTAGTAAACGAGGCTACTTTCTCATTTTTTTACGTTGTAAGCGTTAAATTTCACTTCGCTATCATCATCAGATCTTGCAGAGACACTGGTTTCCAGACCCCTTGTGTGTGTACAAATACAACTCCTCTTTCGATGTACAAAGTCACTTTCCCCAAAGAGTACAAAGCTTTTCCTTCAAAGCGCCTGTTAGGGATTGGCATGAATAAAAGATTGTTGTCTTCAGCCTATAAAAAACAAACGACAACGAAAAGTTGGTTTTCTTGTGGAAAGTAAGAAACAGAACATTAAAAAAAAATTAAAAACAACAACAACAAATGGACGAGCAAAGGCCACAAACGCAGTTCAGGAAATTTAAAAACCCAGAGCAATTAACCCGTACAGAAATGACGATCGCTCACCGAATGAATAAGACAGCCTACACGGTTGTGAAGCGAAATTATTTTCAGTCGACGTAGAAATGATTTTAGTTACTAGAGAACGCGATTTTACCGCTTTGACCCAATTAAATCACGTGGCGAGGCCGGTGCACCAATCATCATCGTCCTTCGACGTGCGCCGGAATGCTTCGCACCTAGACTCCCACAAGACGCGGTCTCGCAAGGCGGATTTCAGATCGGATACTTCAATTCCTGTATGCAGAGAAAACAGCTGAGGGTCTGTGATTTTCCGTGAGCATATTGGGATGTAAGTGTACCAAAGGAGAAGTGATGATGTCTACTCCTCCTCTGCTCTTGTGCGGGGTCTAGTGAACTGGAGACAACTGCACGTGGCCTTCTCCGATATGGATGGAGAGTTCTCTTATACTCTCTCTCTCGTTGCATGCTTTGACCAATGGTTCGTCCTCTGCGAAGAGGATCTGTGTAGGGTCCATCCAATCTTCTGTTTGTTTTTGTTTTTGTTTTTCGTTTGCTTGTTTGTTTGTTTTCGTTTTTTTTGCAGTTAATGTCGAGGTTTTTTCTCTGAGCCACAGAATAATTAAGGCTGTGCTGCCGTCGGATCAACAAGATTTTTGGAATTGTCATAATGGTTACAACGATAACAGACAAGAGTAATCTTGCTGTTTTCCATTTCAGCAAAAATATAACTTCAGTACCACCTACAAATATTACATACCGAAATCCAAAATGCAGGCAGTTCTTTTAAAAATTGTTTACAAATTAACAACAGGATATCTGTGTGTCGGACACTTACCAACTTCTGTATGAGGTCTTTAAAATTTGAGGGAACGTTCTGAGAGGCCACATTTCGAGCTGCTTCGGCCTGGAGGGAAAATTTAAGAACACAAACTAGTAAAGCTCTGATCAAGGTACATGTAATTTAATGTAACTCATTTTAACTGCATACAGGTTAATAAAATCAGACACGAAGCTAGAGAGCAGCGGGGAAGGACTAAGTAGGGAACAGAAGAACCATACCAACTACAGTTGTAGTCCACTGCATTAGAAATAACGTACAAAGTATTAAAAAGAAAGAAAAAGACATTGTCAGAAAAAGAAACACAAACTAATTATGATGAAAGACTACGCTATGATTTTATGCCCAGGTAACATGTGGGCGATCAGGAACATGTAAGGCACACTGGTAAACTGAATAAAACTCCAAGCTGGTACCTTTTGTTTTTCAACTGCTGCAGCCAAGGCCGCTGCTTCTGCTTCTCTTCTGAAATGAAAAATAATCAACAATATAGTGATATATACAGTGAGTCACAAGTCCAACAACATGCAGGGTTCTACGAGGTCATTACAGGACTAACGCTTGTTTACGAAAGGGGATAGGCGCCGCCACAGGTGCACAGTGAATTGCTTCCCAAAATTCTACGTCCAAAGAACGTAGCAATCATCACTTTGTCACAGGACTATCAAAAATGAGTCAGTCAAAGTGGAAAGCTTTCTAGGTTCTGGAAACTTCTGAATTACTACATAGCGAGAATTCCTATGAATGATCTATAGAAATACTCAATACAGTCGAACCACGTTAACACGCGACACTGAGGGGGCCATGGAAAGTCTCCGTATTAACGGGGTGTCCCGGTATCAAGCGGGTTGAAGTTAAGGAAATGGGGGCTTTCTTTCACCAGGGACAAAGCAAAATGAGGTGTCTGTTTCAAGCGGGTATCCCTAAAGCGGCGTTTGACTGTGGCTTTTTAAGCGTTTTTTTTTTAACTTTTACACTTTTACACTTCATGGATGGGACATTTGCCCCCCGAGTTGACACCGGTTTTCTTCTAATCGAAATACTCATCATTTGGAAGTTATTCAAGGCGTTTTTTATTAGAATTAAGTTCAAGAAAACTGACGTTACACTTTTTCTTAGTTGCGCTCTCATGAATAAGGGAGTTAAAATAGAGAGCCGTCACCTCTCTTCACAAATTGATCCTTTCAATGTTTTGAGTTAGGCTTAAATCATCATACATCATAAAGAAGAAACTCAACACATCCGGTCCAATGAACAATCGTAAATCCTTTGTATTTTGGGGTTTTTTTAGGGGTGTATCGGCGTAGTCTAAAATCAAAACCAACGCATTCACGCGCGTCATCGAAAGAGGAGATACTTTAATGAAGTACTCATATCTAACAGCTATACTAACAAGGGCCAAGCGCGATAAAGTGCGTTCCCGCAGAAAATCCTTATCAATTCCGTCGATCAATTTTATTTTATGACAAGGAAAAAGAGCGCCAGTTTTGCAAAGCGAGGAAATGTGGATCCAAAGCAAATACAGATACACAACGTTTCGCTAATAACTTAAGTTGAAACTCATCCACTCACCTTCTCTCAGTGCTGGTAAGATAAGCAATATTCTCCTTGGCTCCTGGCTGAAGAATACCACCTGGTGACGTCACAGCCTGGTTCATGACGTCAAGCGCTCGGTTGAAGTGCACTGGAAATCAAAAGGACTAATGTTTTCAACTAAATCGCTCTTGGAACGAAAAATAAAGATTATAGTCCACTCAAAACTAAGGGCGCTTTCCATTTGTCAGAAATGACTGGCTAGACAATTCTTGTCGCATTGAGGATCTTACTTTTAATCAAAACTATCAGTCCAGTCAGATCAATCAAATTTTAAATGGTAAGCACAAAGGAGATGGGTGTCCATAAAAAAAACTCTTGGAAAAATCCTATTTCATTGTCAAAATGAGTGGTCCGGCAAGGGTCCGGCCGACCAGTTCTGACTTTTGGAAAGCACCCTAAAACTTAAGGTGTGATAATGCACACATAAGATGTTGGAACAAAGACCAACCTTTGACGCTTGGATTATTGAGTAGGTCTTCACTAAACATGCCCTTCCAGCCAGAATACCTTGAACACAAAATATGAGAACACAAAGTTAAGACTTAAAAGCGACACAATCATTGTCATTTTGCTGAGGCATGCACCAGGAAATCATTCACGCGAAGGAGAGCATGCGCAGAGGTCGTAGGCGTGACGACGCAGACCTTGTTCCCTGGATCCTTCAACAGTTTTTCGTCTTCACGTCGGGTGAAAAACAAAAACTTGAGAACGAAGTGAAGGGAAAGGATTTGACAGAAATAGACTTCTAACTCGAACTACAAGAAAGTAAAAATTCAAGAAGTGAGCCTTGAGGTGCGTTCGATTGATCATATTCCGGATTAAGAATATGCAAAAGTTTTGTTGCAAATCTCTTGTACCGTGATTTTTGAGCCATTTAAACGCTGCATACATCGGGATATTATAATTAAAGCAGATTTCTAGCTATTACAAAGCCCATCAACGTCAAAATGAGTGATTTTTTAGTTTATTTTTCTTTCTGGAAAACGGTCAATCAACCAAGTCCTTAGCCACATGTCTACGATTGTCAATTCTTGATCTCAATTTCTAAGATCTAAAACTAAATAGAAGAAATTCATTTACCATTGGATAACTTCATCATAATTAGGACTGACACTCAGCCAACCTCGCAGAACCTGACAAAATAAAAAATAAGATTAGTAAGCCATTTTGTTTCACCATTGACCAACTTCAGCATCATAGTCAAAAAACAAACCTGAATCCATCGCGAAAAGAAGTGTTTCTCCAACAAACTGACGAAATGTTGTTGTGTTATAATATCTTTCCACTCCATGACCCAGTGAAAAGGTTCTGAAAACCAAGCGAGCACAACACGGATCAATATACGATTTCTCTTTACGATATCAAAATGATATCAAGCCCCAATATCCACATACAAATTCTCCAAACTGATCTCCATACATCTACTTTAAGAATTAGTTGAGAGAATTTGAGAAAAGATCATGGAATTTTCTCTATGATGATCATTTCATTAATTCTCATAACTTTATCTCTTGACAGTGTATGGATATTGTTAGGAGAAAATTGTTGTTGGTCACTATTGGGACTTAAAGGGTTAAACCGGCTACACGTGCTGAGAATCATGGTTACCATCAGCTGGGCCACGAAATTCATCATAGTTCTAAGAGAGGAAACTGCCACAAAACAGAGTGAAACATTAAATAACGGCGCAAAAAAATTAGAAGAAGGTATAAACGACACGGCAAATATAAAAGGAGGCACTGATGGACAAACTTGAAGAAGATTGAAACGGACTGAAACTGTGGTTTTTTTTTAGCCCAACAGGTTTTCAAAGTACATTATGGTTGTTGTAACGATTGATATGATGCTTTGGAGACATACTTTGTTTGACACAAAAGATGTGATTTTGTCATTCACAGGTAATTTATCAAGTTTCATAGCGAACAAGGACTCGTAAATGGCATTAAAAACAAAATAAACTGGGCAGCCTTGACAGAGCCCCTTTATAAGAACACCATACCGCACTGGTGAACGACAAGTAAAACTCAGCAAGGAGAATTGATATTTTTGTTGTTTCATACCTAAGTGTTGTTGATGAGGATTGATGATGAACTCAGCAAGGCACTGGGACAGTTTAGGATAAATTGAGCGAAGAATGAATGCATCCATGGTTCCTTTGGAGAAAACCTGTTCACAAAAATGCAGTGATAAAAATATGGAAAAGAGGTTTCATGAAATAACACAGGCAAACAAGTGTATACTGTTATTTTGCAAAATAGTTCGAAACTATATCCCAGCAACATGCTGCGCACGCTCAACAAAGAACGTGACTCATTCAGAGACCTTCTCGAGTACGCCCAAATCGCTGCCTCCTCCATAGGCTTTCCCAAAGTTTGTGGGATTCACGGAACAAGCGAGTGGCGCGAGAGTTAGAGAAAAACGAGAGCGGGATGATGGGAACACCCCGCTTTCCTTAATAATTAGGTGATCTTAACAACCACGTTTTTAAGCGACACACGTCAACCGGAAGTGGACGTGTTGCAATCCTGGGGCGTGCTTTTGAGCAAATTTTCGGGCAAATTGTCTCTGCGAGAGAAAACACACTTGCGAATACAAATATGGTAGCAACACGTCATATGGAAAGCGAAAAGGACTCACTTCCGGTTGACGTGCGTCGCTCAAAAACGTCTTTGCTGAAACTCCCTAATTCCCCCCCCCCCCCCCGCAAGAAAAAAGTGATCGTGAGCGACTGGGAACGAGGCAGTCAAAATCGAGAGAGCGAAAGAAAGGCTCCGCTGGCAGGATGAGACTTAAAAAGCAAACTAGTTGCGAAAAGTACCTTGGTCCACGGTTGTAGGATCATCTTTGCTGAGGGATCAGAGGGATGCCAGTTAGTGAGTGCAGAGGCTAGCTTGAATCTGATTGGTTGATACAGGGGCTCAAGGTGTTCACCTAAAAATGGACAAAAATTTTCATTACGCTCAAATAAGGGTCCAGAGAAAGACCGGTACATAGCAGTACTTAAAAACTTCAACTGTTTTATTTATCGATTGATTTCCCCCAAAAAATTACTAAACTAATGAACCGCACAAGGGAAACACTACAACAGCTTTTGTGAGTTGCTTTCGATTCCTTGATCTCCACTAAGATAGCATGCTGGTTCTACTCATATATCCATACGTGAGCGTACACTAGGCCCGAGTTTTGTTTTATTGAACAATAACCTTTCGCCGACACGCTTACACCCGTAAATTATTCGTTCTCTATATAGGCAGTGGTATGATTGTTAGAAGTTTACTTTGTCCCCTGTAAAGTTCTTTCACTTGTGGTAAGTGTCAAAATTGTCCGCGCAAGCGCCACGCAAAAGGACTTACTACAGCTACTTTCTTGACGGATCACTGCATTTTACACAATTCATAATAATAACCTCACCCATTAGAGGAAGCCATGGATGAATCCAAGCATGTACTGGAACAGTGTCTGTTAATGGATCCCACAAATCTACTTCTGCCTGAACACAACACAACATAAAAAACAAAGAAGCGTTTTGTAACCATGGCAGACTTTTACCTTTGCGTTCGTAACAACGCGTTGTTTAGCTAAATTCGAACTTTTTCCGAGCCAAAATGTCAACCTCATTCCCAGGGTCTTCTCTCGGCCTGTCGCCGCCATATTAGAACACCAAAAGACCCTGGAAACGAGGATGCTAATTCTTACTGCTTTAAAAGGTTTTCGTCCTCAAAACATTTGCCTGTTCTTCGGTCGTTTCAGGATATGAAGGGAGGTTTATTCCAGCAAATATTCTTCATAAATAGCAGTTTTTATCCTTCAAGCTAGTGGTAATTTTGTTTATTTTCGAAGATTTTAGGGCAATAGGTCAGTTATTTCGTTAGCGTGCAAAGAAGGCGTATTTTGACGTGCAAGCGATGATACTATTCTTAAGACTAATGCAATCCCGCCATCCTGGAAGTTGAAACTGACAGAGAGTTGGAGCGAGTCCAAAAACTGATTCCAAGGGAGAGGAAAACGGGCTTAAAAAAATGGCAGCCGAGGTTTGTGGTTATAAGAAGCAATTAACCTCTCCCAGAAAATACCATAACATACCATAATGCTCTTTGTTTGTAACCCCCAACTTTTGCATAAGCATTGTTTTCAGTTTCTCTTGGGGTCATTTTAACTCCCAATAGAAACTGAAGACAATGCTTATGCAAAATTTTGGGGTGACAAACAAAGAGCATTATGGTATGTTACGGTATTTTCTGGAGTGGTCAATTGAATTCTTCTTTTTCCTCATTTGTTTACCGGTGCTATGCGGCACATCACTATATATGTACCCTTCACAATCTTCCACATTAAACTTTAAGTCCTTGACATATATAGCATTAATAGACCTTATTTACGTTACCCGCCATCTTTGCACGCGCTTAAGGACTGATGGGATAAAAGCAATGTCACGTGGTTTTTCAGGGGGCAAACAAGTGATAAATTTTTCCAACAGAAGAAATCGCGGTCGCGGTACGTACGGACGGTTTTCTCCAACCAAAATTTCGTGGAAGCATAGAAAACCAAATTTTCTTGCCCATGGTGCGCCGCTGCGCGCGAGAACTCCACTAATATCAGTCTATATCTGACCTGTATTCGCGGTATAATCAGCTGATCTCTGATGTTGTCCGTGATCCACTGAGGGAAGACGGGGGTCCACACATTTAAAAGGCTGACCATTGGGTCATAATTTCGACAATTCCATGAACTAAATACAACACATAATATGCATTACAATATGAAACACGCAGACGAAAACTGCTACATCGCGACTTAATTGTCTAATCAGGTCAATAACCAGAGTATAATACCATCAACTGACGCGATACAACTCACTTTGACTCTGAAGATGACTACCGCACAGGTTGTCGAAACGTCAGTCACTGTCAACAACAACAGTCCTATTCAGGACTACGTTCACCCGGACGATCATGCTCAGCTTACTTATGATATGACTGAATAACCGCTAACTCTTTCCTCTGCATAATTATCCCATGTGGGAGATGCAGTGCAATGTAGATATTTATGTTGGCTTTCAACAGACAACTGAATATCACAAGTACAGCTGTATGGTAACTAATGTAGATACAGAACATACCATATAGCAGAGCGAAGGAATGGCATCCACACTTCCCACACGAGTCGGTCATACATCTTCATCCTTAAAAACAATAAATACAAAGTCCAATTGGTCAACATCTTAACGACGAGTGTCCAAATATCACATGACCTTATGTTAATGAGATTCCCTCGCATTTTATTCAAGAGAACAAGATTATGACATCATCAGCGCTAAAGTATTCCACTTCATCTACAGTGGAACTTCGAAATAACGAAGGACCAAGGGATTGGCAAAATTTGTTCGCTATACCGAAGTTTCGTTATATCAAGGTTCTTCCCACATGCTTAACAATTACTGGGGTTAAGAAAATCGTTTGTTATACCGAGGACTTCGTTATGTAGAGGTTCGTTATATCAATGTTCCACTGTATTAACGTTCCACTTCAAAAAAGGGATAGAGCTGAGCCACGAATGGTCACTGTTCTTGTAGCAAAAAGTTTTTTTTGAATGCTCATAGAACATGTTACTGATTACATACTTCTCTTCACCATGACTCAGTCCTTGTGCTAGCGTAAGGGTGAAGGCGGAGTTTTCTGCTTCTTTCTTTTCCAGTATTTCTCGCCATCGTATCATGACTTCAAAACCATGAGATGGATCAGCAAGAGGTTGCCACCCTTCGAAGTGTTTCCTCAGCTGCGGGTAAAATCAAACCAAATCAGTCAGTCAACCAGTTAATTACCTAAGTGGGGCTTAAAGTTATCGGTAAGATGCAATGTTTAGGGGGCAAAAGGTAAAACAGTGACCCAGCGAAGAGGTTAGAAGGAAAGGGTGAGACGTCTACCCTTCTGAGAAGCAAACTCTGTTACAGTTTGTCATCAGTATCAACGTCCTTGTGCCTGCGTATGAGCAGAGTTGCAAGAGAGATCAATCTCTCGTCTGTCGCCCCACTGTAACGTTTCTTGTAGTCCGTTGATAAAATAATAAAGGATGAAGGAAATACAAAAACAAAGACACCAATATAACGCGAAATGGTAACATTGAATTCAGGAATACAAAAAATATCCTTTTCCAAGATTTCAGCTGTACGCAGGGGGGTATGTGCGTATATGGACGATACGCTCCTGATAAATAAATAAATAAATAAATACAACTTGGTGGACCGCGATGACTCCTTGTGTGGAATATCAATAGATTATTAGCGATCTCTCAGCCAGGAACTGATGTGCCCCAACTTGACTGGATGAAAAGGGTACTGCTCAATGACTAAACATCAAAACAAACCAACGGTGCCATGTGAAAGCATTCAAGTAAAAAAGCACCTGTCCATGTATTTAGCACGAAAGTACTATTTTTCACGTAAGCCACGTGAAAGTCTTGCCTTCATTTCTCTGTTTTATCAAGATCCCTGAATATTGATCCTATCCCAGCAATCTAACCCGCGACCTCCATCTCGGCAGTCGAGTGCTCTAACAACTGAGCAAGTCCTAGCGCGGTTAAATGTCTTCATACTACAAGCTGAGTGCGTGAAATGGTTGATCAGTGAATCTACTGACATAAGTAATATTTCTACTACCATCCCCTAGCAAAATCTTCAGTTTTATTGGCTGACATTCATGTATCAGGTCATGGGAGTAGCAAGTAGTGAAAAATGTTGTTTCAAGCCAAAAAATACTTGATGTGAATGACCAGAAAGTTCTCCTTATTTGCGATACTAGTAGAAATCTCCAGTTCACCCGATGTTACATAAGAGGTGTAAATAATCTCAGATTTGCGTCTTACCAAAGAGAAAACAAGCGGTTCAGCAAGGGATGCCAAGTCGTACATCTGTTAAAATAAAACATAATAAGTTATGCTGAACAAAAAAGCAAGGCTAATCCTGAGCATTGTGTAAGGCTATCAGAATACTAATGTTTGGTATACCAAAGCAAAAAGATAGTATTACCTTAAATTCCTCGTAATAATCTTCTTGCAAAGTATTAAAAATTTCTTCACACTTGTCAAGTGTAAGAGTATCATCATCTGGTGACAATGACTCTTGTCGACACCTGTCAGATAGTCAGATAACAAAGGTTACAAAGTACAAACGCTTAATTAAACATCTAAACACTCTAAATCTCCCATTCACTAATGAGCTTGGAAACTGGTGCCCTATCAATGGGATAAAGCCTTAGTTACTAGCTATAAAAGGCCTGCAAAGCAGATGCCCATGCCACCCAATCCCCACCCCCCCCCCCCACACTCCCCACTCCCCCCTCAATCACCCAGCACCATCACACAGGTATACTTATAACTTCCAACACATGTACAACATCATAATAAATTTATTATGGATTTTAATAGGCGCCAGGGTTACATTGTACATGAAGGATTCACAAAGATCTGTAATGCACACATTGATCTTCCAAAATCAGCACTGTGTGATGGAACGGCTGAAGTAAGAATCTAAGGTTCTGTCCACACAATCCAAATACTTTTGAAAATGGAGGTTTTCTTCTCTGTTTTCAAAAGAATACACGTCCGCATGTAGCGTATTTGCATTAGGGAGGTTAAGCATTACGTTTACGTCAAACGGCAAACGCGAAGTTGTACCACGTGACCAAGTTTCCTCTTTACTTGTCGTTTACTGTTCATTATTTCTACACCTAAATTAATTAGTTTCACGCATTTTTTTATCCATAAGAATTGCTTTGAGCTGTTTTTGTCTGCTTTTCTATTTTGAGAAATTTTCAACTTGAATCTGATGTTTGCCGTTTGCCGTATAAGTGAAGCTTAAACTCTTTCTTGTTTTCGCGTGTACGTGAGAAAACACTTAGGACAGAGCAAATCTCAGGTTAGAGCAAAAGAGCTTGTGCAATGCCACTAGTAATGGTGTATGACATCATCGTATTCAAAAACCTCCGTTTTCATCCTTTCACAAGTAAACGAGAAGCTGGCATTTTCAAAAATCTCCACTATGAGGACCGTTCTTGAAAAATCCGCATTTTTGGTGCCTGTTTATGTGTGAATGGAAAACTGAAATGCAGAAAAAAATCAATGTTTTCAAAATATCAGGATATGTGTGGACAGGGCCTAACAGATGATCAAAAGTAGATGACACCCAAGCACAAAAAGAGGAGAAGCAAAGGCATGAAACTAGGGCTTAACAAATAAGACTGATTTACCTATCTATCATATTGATAACATCCATTAATCTTTTGATGTCCTTTTCTTCCCGCTCCAACACTGCTGTAAGCTTCTCCTCCTCATGTTTAAGATTCACGACGAGATCTCGCTCATACTTAAGTCTGTAAAACAATCAGGAACTCATCTTGACTGTCCACAGTCATCTATTTTAATTTTCTTATGATCTTCAAGATCGTTTGTTTTGCGTTTAAGGTGGCTATCTTGGTTTCAAATGTACAGAGGGGGGAGCAAGCGGGGACAGGCGAATGTACCGTCCCCCACTACCTAAGTAGATTTAACACTCAGCCCCAAGCTAGACTCTGATCATTTGAAGCCAAGATGGCCACCCGTAAGGGTACGTAGCTGATCAATCCCGACGATCTTATGGAAAAATGGGGGATTGTGAATGGTCTAGATGTCACCCCACAGATATATGGACAATGTACAAACAGTTACATTATGGCTATAGAACAATACTAACTGAACAATAACTTACTGTCTGTCTGCTTGAATAATATCCGTCTCTGCCATATCAATCAGCAGATTCAAGTTGTAGGTTAGTTCAGGCATGGAAAACGCTGCCTCTGTATCTCGAACTGAAATCAATAATAGCCACATCGTTACCAGAATGCAAAAGAATTAATAATTTACTGAGAGACACCAGGGGATTTTTTCACCCACCTTTCAGTTACTTATATATGTAAGAAAATTTCAAAATCTATTGGCGTCATGTTTAGGTCTCGTTTCTTTCTTTCTGAAACAACAAAAAAGTCTCTTTATTATACCTTAATTTATCCTTATTTAACATATTGTACCACAGTTTGGTCCTCCACTTATGTAACAAACCTTAATAGAATTTTTCTTCTACAAAAGCGAGCAGTACGAATTATTACAAATGCAGATTTTCGCGCGCACTCTGAACCATTATTTTTCCGTTTAAAGATTTTGGACATATACAACATTAATTCATTCTATACTGCACAATTTATGTTTTCATATTATCATCAATTACTGCCACCGCTTTTTTCGAACCTTTTTGTTACTAGTAGCAATATTCATAATTATAATACTAGAAGTTCCTCGCATTTCCGTTCTCATGCCTGCCGAACTAACACCAAACAATTTTCTATTTTGTTCCAAGGCCCTAAAATTTGGAATTCTTTACCAAACTCAGTCACTTCGATTTTTACATTGCAATCGTTTAAAACGAAAGTTTTTGATTTTCTACTATATCGATAATGCGTCTTGTACTGTCCGTTGTTGTGTGTTGTTATAGTTCTATTGCTTAATATTATTGTAACGAGGGGGCCTCCTCGTACAAGCCTTGTGGTTTTCTGAGGTCCCCTCGCCACATCTTTGTATAATGTAATGCTTGTGTAATCTTTATTGTGGGAAAATAATAAATAAATAAATAAATAAATAAATTGGAAAGAAAGAAATGGAAAAATCAGATATACGTATTTTTAAAATATATTAACCTATTCACGACGGAACCTCTTGCGCGAATCCAGGCTCATTCTTTCTACTACTTGTGACCTCATAAGTTTTAATGGTCAATGACAGCCTTTACTTTTAACTTGTGCAGAGGAAAAGATCTTTTTAACCAAACATACAAATGAACACCACTCAGTCAAACAGGCCAGAGAAAAATGCTAAAAAAGCCGCCTTACCTCAACTACAAAATTCCAATGAAATCAACACGCTGTGTTCTAGCAGCGCCCGGTAGCCCCTGGCACCTAACTTTTGCTCACGGGTGACTAGAAAACTAATTTTTTGATATAGAAATCATATGTTGGGCACCCTGGATTTCACAGGTTCAGAGCACTAGGCACCCTACAATACAATGTATTTCTTAGAACACAGCCTTAGAAATTCTGCCTCCTGCACAAGCTCAAACTTCAGAAGCTACAATTCAGCATCAGGAAGTTACATGAGGCAGTGAAATGCTCAGCTACAGGTAGTAAACGTTTTGGGGCTGTTTTGGTTCTTTTTGGCTAGAGAGTGACCAGAAGACAGCTTAACAAGCTTTCATCAGCATTATTCAGCAAAAAAAGAGCACAACTCAGTCAAAATTGCCAAAAACTCCTCTTAGGTCAACCACAAAATTCCATTGAAACTGCAAAAACTTCAGAAGCTGCAATTTAACATCAGAGACTAGATGCAGTGTAGTGCTCAACCTGTACACGTTTGGGCTGTTTTGGTTCTTTTCAGCCAGGTACTGACCAGAAAACAGCTCAACAAGCCTCAAACAAAGTTTTTTTGGCAATATTTTCCAAGGCGAATAGATTAATAATTATTTACTCTATAAAGTGTAGGAGTCATCATTCACCTAATGTGGTCGGAGGCACTTCTCCAGGTTTGGCATGTTGTTGAGCAAGGGAGCCATAACCAGTCAGGATTTTAGTCTCAGGTCCTGTCATGTCCACCACCTAAAACAAAACATCACAGAAAACATGCTTGAGTCGTACAAAAAAATGCAATAGTAAAATCGCCTGCCAATAATTAAAAACAATTACCTTGATCTTGCTATGTTTCAGAGATATGGATGGTCCTTTTTTGCTTCCTCCCGAGGCCTGAAAGCAAATAAACAAACTTTAATTTATTAAAGGCCACACCAAAAACACTGTCTTAAAAGAACATTAATATTAAGTAAAAAAGGACATAAAATTAATAATCCATGAATTTCAATAGTCTAATGAATTTTTATCATTTTGCCCTTAATTCAGAAATACACAAAGTTATTATTTTTGTAAATATTAATTACTTCATACTTTTTGGCTATTTTGGAGAAATAAAATTGTTTGTTATGACAGTTTTCAACACATGTATCATGCCATGACTGGAGGGTTTAATTATAGATAGGTCTTATAGATGTTACAGGTCAAAATTAAATCCGGATTAAAATTTTTTAACCTAAGTTGATCCACAGTTTCTTTTTTCTCCTAGCCCTAGCCTGCAAAAAAGCTCTCCATTTGGGGGATATCATGAAACGTAAAAGCGTGAGAGGCACGCGAGACGAGACGTGAAAGCGTTCTCGCGTGGCTCGCTTCACTCATCCAAACGAGAGAGCTTGCTCGCAGGCTACCTAGCCCTAATTCATGAATATTAGGGCTAGCAAACAGAGAATCAACCTAGGATAAAAAACTTAAACTGAATTTAACTTTAACTTGTGACATAGACACATTTGTGGGGCACCATATTATTGTGGGCAAACGTTGTTTAGTAGTTTTCCTCCTAAGTTTTGATTTTCCCAATCAAAGTGAATGGTTCAAGTGCAAGAGTACCAAGATAACGAAGAGTGAATTTCAAAGAACTTCAATTACCAAACAAGACCAAGATAAAAAAGAGTTGAATTTTGACTCCAAAAGAGATATCCTGTATGATTCAGAATAAGATATTTTTGGCTATTTTTCTTGACAGCAAAAAAAACTCACATTATTTAAGGGGGTAATGTACTTACAATACGCACATCATTTTCTTCAATTTTTAAAGTGAGTTGGAATCATTGAATAGCATCCAGAACTTAATATACCCTGAAAACTGTACCTTGACTTCATCTGCAGTCTTGTAAACATATTTTGGCTTTGAGTAGCCCTGAGAATCAAAAATGAAGAACCATTGAGACATGAATTAGCTACAAAGAATGTCACCTTCTTTATTTATTATAATAAGTAAATACAACTAAGTATGGTCTTTATTTCATTTTGATAGCATGCTCGCAACTTATGAAACTCATTAACGGATAACATATGTGTCTGCTTCTCTTTCCACCTTTTAAAACTGGGTTAAAAACTGTTCAACTGGATAATGAATGCTGTTCTTTTTGTGAGCAATTTTAATTTCTTGGAATTATTCCTACATACGTGCATGTTTTTAATTAATTATTTTACTCACAATTTTCAGTTTTTTACTCATTTGATTTTTATGTCTTTATTTATTTATATGCGTACATATAATTTATGTATTTATGTATTCTAATAATTTTGATGAATAATTTTGGAGATATTAGCAATTTTCCCATCAACTAATTTGAAGTTACATTAAGTCTTTGATTGATTGATTGATTGATTGATTGATTGAAACTAATCTTTTAACTGCAAGCAGCATCTCATTTATCGTCAAAGTAAGGGGGTTGGTACAAGTGCAAAGGGTGAGTAGTGAAGCTGTGAGATGCCTGAAGCACCAGAAGATGCTGCTTCCCAAAGCCAAAGCCAATAAATCATCTTTTGCCCTCACAAATTAACACACAAATATGACTGGCTGACGTTTTGAGTGCTAAAAACAAACTGTCAACAATTATAGGCTACTAATTTTTTTACAAGCTTGTCTTAAGGCTGATTTTCACTAGTGACAGAGTCAGAGTTGGAGTCATAAGCACAGCTGTAAGAGCGCTTATGACCTGGTGAAAATCAAAAATTGGAGTAAGCATGACAGAACTGGACAGAGTCAGAAGAATCAGAACGTTTCCATTTCTTCTGACTCTGTCACTCATGTTCCACTTACTTTGTCACCAGTGAAAACAACCCTTTACTTCCAGAGCAAAACTTTCTAAGTCAGGACATGACCCTTCCAGAGCCCATAGATAATGTTAGTTTGCACATTAGGCGTTCTGTCTGTGTTAAAAGATATACAAGCTTCTTGCAGCAAAACTGAGTTCTTGAATTAGATATTGAGTCAACATTTCTGGTCTCTGGCTTGCTTCACTAATCTGATTGAATATTAAATGTAACTTAACTGCCTGGAACAATCACAAAATTACATCAATATCTAGAGATTTCAAAAATCAGAAATCATCACTCTGTGGCTGGTCTTATTGGCATACTTGCATTTTATGTATTAACTATAATTGTTACTAGCACAAATTCACCAGATTCTTTTTAAAGACATCTGCTGCAGTTGTCCTGACTGGGTAAAATGAAAGGAAGGTCAAGAGATGATTTCTTTATCACAGTTAATTCGATTTCAATTTTACACTGAAAAACCACTTGAACATGAAAGATCATTCACTCTGGAGAAATGTGAAAACCTTAAATAATTGATTGATATTGCCAATATTAATAAGACAAAATTAACCATGAAGACATCAAGGCAGTATTACCTCATCTGTCTTTTTCCACTGTTGAAGTTGTTCCCTGAATTTCTCGTCTTCCTCCTCTTCTTCATCATAATGAGGCCGCAACTGAGTGAAATTAAAAGAATATTAAAACAGTTATTATTGTAAACAAAAAAAATTTTAGTTTCTATGAAACTATTATGACAAAGCAAGATGAATACCAGAGCTGTCATGACAGGACTAGAAAACAGGCCAAAAATAACAATTACAGTAATAATATTATGCACACAAGCCCTCCTTACCTCCTGAGCTTTCTTGGTTCTTTCTGGACCGTAACTTCCCAAAGCTCCACGCCCTTCACGCTTGAAAGCCTCTACTGGTAGCACAATACCCTGGCCTTCTTTTCCTAAACCTTTTCCTGGCTCATAACCCATCTACAAAAAAATGAGACTGAGTGTAAACACTTGTAGTTTCTAAGTTAAGACTACACAGTCAAGTGTCTCTTGATGGATACCTCTACAGTACTGGAGTATTATAAGAAAACGACCATAAAGAGAAACCAGGGCAAGCTTCCTTTCTTTTAACAGTGGGCTGAATGAAAAAGGAACTAGACAGGTGAGATCAGCCCACACGTACATGTGTAATCTATGCCCACCCAGTCCAACAATGGCCTAAGTCAATCACACTGGGGTGAATGTCTGCTACATCTCTTTCCAAACAGAGAAATGGGTTATTTTCTGTTCTCTTCTTAATATTGTACAATGGACATCGCGTATTAGGATGGGGGAAACAAGGTCAATGGTTAACTGCCTCCACCTAATAATGCAATCAACTCACTTCAGACAAGGTTTCAATCACAGCTGGATTTTATTGACAGTTTGAACTTTTTAAAGACCCTAGTAGGTGATCTAGCCATGCCAAGGTGAGCTCACGACCTCTGGCACAAAAGACTGGCTGCTCTTTCAACTAGGGGGGGCACCTTTTTAAGACACTTAGACTTTGTCCCACCCATTTTTCATCATTTTTTGACTCTCTATGAGATAGATGCCCTTCAAAGACAGATAATTGTTGTTGGTCGCAACAGTGCCTCTATTATCATCAGACATCATCATAAACCCTCTTGTGTAATGCACATAATTCACAAATTCAGCTTTTTGTTGAACACTTAACATTCATTATGCCAGTAATCTGTGTTCATGCACATTGTGGTCAAAATCAAACTTGGTGTTACTCAAAACAGTGGCAAGAAGTACCCTGTACCTGTTGAAGCAGTTTCATACCAATTCCTTTGGTGTGTTTTTCCCAAGAACCTATGTCCCTGAAATAAAAACAAAAAGAAATAAAATATAAGAAAGTAGAGAAACTGATTAAGAGAATATTTTCGAAGAAAATTAAAAAGACCAAACAGAATCATTATACAAAACCCTACAATATGAATAATCAGGGCTAGGAGGCAAATAAAATTGGGAATAAAAATCAAGGTTAAAAATTTTTAACCTGAATTAAATTTTGACCTGTAACATATACACAATACTGGTAACTTAAAAGGATTTTTCTGCATTATAAGAGACAACTTACTTTCCAGCCTTGCGCACTTTGTTAGCAAATGCTTGTGATCCTAAAAAATAAACAATCAATAGAATTAATATGCTTTTAACCAAAGACAAGAACAGCATACATGTAACACTGTTTCTAACTAGTTCACATCCACTGATGATGCCTGATGATAGCACACACACATACGATCATAACTCACAGTAACATGACTTACGTATACTGTGCGATATGTTAACACCTGATAGCCAATCAGCAAATGGAACAAGTGTACAAAAACCATCCCACAATATGTCTGAGCACAGATTCCCTGAAATCAGCACTGCCTACCGGGATATTGTGCAGTGATTATGAAAATAATAAAAAAACGACACTATTAAAGCTTGTTTGCACTAGTGAAAGAGCTGCGTGTAGAGAAGGAGTCATATGCACATGTCTTAAGAGTGCTAGTGACTGAACGCCTAGTGAAATAAAAAATGATAGTCCTAAGCGGAGTTATAAGTGTGATGGAATCAGAGTCAGAATAAGACTCAGAGCATTTCCATATTATTCTGACTGCACTTATGATTCCATCACTTACGATCTAGTGAAAACCAGATTGTTGGAGTCAGAAGCAGCATAGGAAGAATAAACCAATAAATTAGAGAGCTTGTTCTCACACTCTGTGATTGGTTAAGTGCGCCTGCTTATGTTTGCGACTCCAGCAACCTAGTTTTCACAAGATCACAAGCAAGAGTCATAAGCAGAATTGGAAAGTTGTTTTCACTAGATCATAATAAACACTCTTCTCTTCGCCTTATGACTTCACTCTGTCACTGGTGAAAACCAGGTTTCATTGGTTCCTAAAATAACAACAACAGAATCTTAGGCTTTCCATGACAGAGCTTTCGAGATCAAAAAATCCAGGGCCAGGTTGTTTAATGCTAGGTTAAGATAACCCAGGGTTAGCATTAAATTTGAATTCAGATATGAAAGCTTAAGAAGCAAATTCAGTTTAATTCTCTTTGTCTACAATTTTTAGAGAGGGTGTTCCAAATAGAATAGAGAAAATTAAAATAAACTTTAACCCTGGGTTAGTGCTATTTGACCTTCTAACAACTTTTTTGTATTTTTGTATTTATTTACTTATTAAGTCACTCACAAAACCTTATACAACGTGAACAAAGGTTGGTAATTAAATTACAAAATTAATGTGACAACTAAGGCTAACAAAGCTTGAAACTTAAATTAATAGGCTTCCTTCAACTACCTAATGAACTAAATTCATGGCTGAGTGCAGAGTGAGTAAGATCAGAAAATTAAGCAACTGGGCCCAGGGTGCTCTGTGTTTGATTTTTATTTCTAAAAAAAAACGAACTTAAGATTTCCTAGTCACACAAGAGCAAAAATGATACACCTGGGGCCACTGAGAGCCGCTAAAGCACAACCCTAAAGTGACATTGACTTTTATCCAACCTGACCACAGTGAATGAATACAATGTAGTTACTACAAGAAAGATGCCAGTCTACACTCTAAGGACCTAATAACTAAAGCAAGCAATAAGACATTTTGTACGTAAGCCTAATCCAGACAAGACAACAAAAATTTCAACCCTAACACTGTGCCCATATAACTCATTGGAACTACCTTAATAAATTGTTATTGTTGTTAAAAGTTTCAATAATACCATTCCAACTGTAGAGTATCAGATAACAAGTTAACAAGTACAACTGACAACTTTCAAGAACAACACTCCCAGTTCTGCATACTACATGTATCATTGATCAAACTGCTTGAGAGTAGTAAAGTATACTGGCATGCACAAATCTCAATACAACAGTGCTAAATGAAAAGTAGGTTGAGTTTGATTGACCGGGTGAACGTAGTCCTGAATAGGACTGTTGTTGTTGACAGTGACTGACGTTTCGACAACCTGTGCGGTAGTCATCTTCAGAGTCAAAGTGAGTTGTATCATGTCAGTTGATGGTATTATACTCTGGTTATTGGTCTGATTGGTCAATTACGTTGCGATGTTATTGGTCGTCTGTCAGTTAAGCCGTGATGCTATTGGCTATGAAGACTCATAATCAGTAATTGGTGCATTTCAATCCATGCTAAATGAATTGCTAACTACAGTGGAACCTTGATAACTCGAACTCAGATAACTCGAAATCCCACTAACTTAAACTAAATTTCTTTTCCCCGGATCAAATTTCAGTGAAATTTACCCTGATAACTCAAATTCCCTGCTAACTTGAACTGTTTTTTCTTTCCCTTCAGAGTCTGAGTTAACGTTGTTCTACTGTATTACAAAATTAAATCTAATCATTGTAAACTAACCCAGTGAGCTGACATCTTTCTTGATGCCTGTGCTTTTAAACAGCTTTTTGTCTTTCACAACAGGAGAACTTCTCCCTGATCCAGGACCTCTCTCACTTGCACTGCTGCCAACGCTTGCTGTATCTGACAAAAAAAATTCAAACAATGTTGTTATTGTGAGTAAGACGTAATACCCAGGGCGCAAAGAAAGTCATTTTTATAGCTTGCATTTGGGCAAGCTGAAGCTAATATTTACTAGCCCAAAGATCATTTCAACTAGCCCCAAAAAGGTTTTGATGAACAGATTGATTTCACAGTTCTTCTGTAATTTGAATTCCACAAAAAAATTCACTTGCCCATCAGGCAAGATAGCAAAATCCACTAGCTGACTTCCAACACCCATGATCCCCACAGAAAGTCATTAGACTAGGAAATTTGGGACATCTCAGAACTTTTTACCCATTTCTCACTACTTTTTCTGGCTCAAAGTTCAGAATCTCAATTTTTTTGCCTTTTATAGGTTGCCAAGTCTGTAAAGTTGTTATTGTTGTATCAGTCTTGGTTGGTAAAGATAATGGTAAGATTTCCATATAACCTCATATAGTTACATGACTGTATACATGTTTCAAAACTATTTGTGAAATTGCTGCATGCATAATAAATGTATAGGGTTATACAGAAATCTTACCAAGATAACTAACAGTATTTTTAAGAGGTTATTATAAGTATACAATGAAAATACGGTAACTAAATTCGTACCATCATCGTCCAAGTTCTTATCTTTTCCTTTCTGAACAATCCCACCACTCACAAAATTCAGTGGCTTGGTGTAATCTTTCTTTCTTTTCTTCGAGTATCCACGAGGTCCTTCGTCATCATCTGAGTCTCTCTCAGCCCACATTCCATAAATCGCCTCTTCTCTTGTCATTCTGTGTCTTCTAAATCCCAAACCGAAACCCTCCATTAGGTCGCGGTCGGTGATCTCGAAATCTTCGACCTCCACGTCGTCATCCATTTTCAAACTGCTCTGTTGTTAAACAGCTAGAATTACTCAGTAGTGATGAAGGGAGGTTCGAAATTCTATAACAAAGGTAAAACTGGTTTTAACAATTCCAGACGATCAAAAAGACGAAAGACGTGAATTGACAACACAAGATTCGTCCGCCATCTTGTGCGCAAAGAAAGCCCACGCTTAGTGTTTTTTGTTAGTCCGCTGTACTTTACTCTATTGAGCGTTCAGCGGACACTAAAATAAATCGCATTTGGCTAATTTCTATTGCTAAAAACCTCTATTAAGTGGACACCGGACTGAATTGACAACAGTAGTATTGGATTACTTCCTTGAAATACGTATTGTAGTCGATTAATAAAGATAAATCATTACATTTAGTTGTCAATAAACTGTAGATTAGACCAATATCCGGCAGAATAGTTGTCATCCGTGATCAAAGTTCACCTAAAAGTCTTGCGCAAAGTACAGAACAGCTCATGACAGCTTCCTTAGCTTCCTTAGTTTTCAGGAGAATATAGTTCAAACCACTTAAACATAGCATTGTTAAACGTATTTTAGTATTTAAACGGTAGATATAGGCATATTTTCATCCCCTATAAATTTTTCATCTGTTCGGATTTCCTAGCTGAAAGTCTAGTGATCCGAAAATTATAGGGATCAAAACTTACCTTTTCGAAAATTTCAGCCAGAAAAAAAGCTCCCGAAAATTCTAGGTGACCTTTATAGGGTAAAAATCCGTTAAAAATAGGCAATTATACCATTAATTAGATGTTCGAAAATCCTAAGAGAGGCAGGCAAGCAAGAAATTTTACAACAAATGTTCCGAAAATTCTAGATCTCAAATCGTCTTCCGAACAGATCTTTTCCAAAAATTGTCGTTGGGTGCCCCTGAGTTTCCTCAAGAACATGGAACTTAATCGCAGTACAGAGTAACCTTGGAATGTTAATCTTTAACAAACATTGCGTACTTTTTACAAACCTCTATTAAACGGACACCCTTGGGAAGGTCCCGAAGGTGTCCGCTTAATAGAGGTTTCACTGTAGTCAGTTTTATTTCGTTCCAGTCCCTGCAGTCTCGCCGAAAGGCGATTTTACTGCACTGCCATAGAGACCTGTATTGTATGAAAACGAGAAGTTTACTAAAACAGACAGCCAATATCCTGAGTATCAGGCCTTCTTAAGGGGATGGGGGAGAGGAGATTTTTAATCGCTTCCATCTTTCCCCTTTTCCACCAGAAACGCCTGATACTCAGGCTAGACAGCCAACCGCCCATTAATTGCACTGCCTCATTGCGGTCTACCACTGTCTACATGAAATTTTTTTTTCCACAACTTGTAAAATATTCAGTTTTAAGATTTTTCTGTTTCTATTTTTCTTCAACTAAAGGAATTAAATCCTTTGCATTTTGGGACCTAAAAAAGTTTAAAGATTTCTCTCTCACATGTTGATTTCATCGGCACGCACTGGGTGTCAGCGTTGAAAACGCGGGGTCGGGGTTTATATTCTTTGTTTTTTAAGAATATTGTTTTAGGGTTAGGGTTAGGGTTAGGGTAGGGTTAGGGTTAGTGTTTGGTGGGTAAGCAAAGAATTCTGGAATGATAGATCTTTGCACAAGTTTCTCTCGTTTTGAAAATTCTGACCAATCCTGCCAGAGTTACACGCAAAAAATCTACTGACATTTTTAAAAAATCCAGTTCCAATTTCAATATTTACATGCGGCTCTTTCCAAGTAAAATTTCCCCCTTTCCTGGAAAGAAAGCCAGGTACAAAAGAACGAGAGATAGAAAAACGATAAAGTGGGCAAGACAACCAGTAGATATAGAAAAGAAAGGAGAAGGAAAGAAAAGGAGTATGAAGTATTGTATCAAAACGATTGCGAGGGCCTCATTGGGGTACCCAGACACAGAGAAACAGATGAAAGCAAGAGGCTCAAGGCCGAGTGCTTTTATTGTTTCAAGGGTGTCTGGATATCCAGATAAAGCACGTAGCACGAGCTTTTGGTATAGCTTCTTAAGCGAGTGGCCTACTATTATTATTCATTAATGTTGTCAGTTTCATTTCGTTAATTAAACAATATCTATAGAACTAAGATGTGATAACAACCGTTTGGATGGAATGTGTCATTTAAGAGTTATCCAACTTAATTTAGTGTTAATCATATTCAGTTTTTTGTGCGACCTAGATGAGTCAAGTTCAAGGTTTCGAACGCCCAAAACTTTCCACGAGGGAAAGGAGTGTGTTATCAATTCTGTTCCGAAGTCTACGGTTATAACATGAACACATGGGCGTTACAGATTTTTCGAGAATAACATGACCAAAGAGGGCTCAAGATTTGCACTATTGAGCCAAGGTGAAGACATTGGTGTGGATGTGCAAGAGTTGACTGAAAGATTGAAAACATGAATGGCAAAAATCTAAACTACTGGCTATCCAAGTTCGTAAAGGAGTTTGCAAATAAGTCGGGTGGCTGATATCCCTCTCGGTAGACTCCGAGCAGTCTCTCTTTTACTTCAGATTTAGTAAGGGGAGTGCACGCGCGCGCGAGCGTTGAGCGGCGAAGCAGCAAGACGCGAGAAACGAGGGCGGCAGCCCGAGGAGAAAAAATAGCCTTTTCCCTCTCGCGCCTTCAGTCACGCGCGTGGTCATTTGCGTGTCTCGGGCGTTTTGCTCGACGGACCAAGAAAAAAGAGAGACTGCTCGTAGTCTACCCTCTCGGACGCTTTACGTTTCCTGGTAGAGAAAAATGACGAGGGCGCATTAAATCCATTGGCGGTCAGTGACAAAAGGTATCATTTCTACTGATTTTGAAAGATTCATTTGTTCTTTGCATTTTAACTTTATTTAACTTGTGTTGGTCCTTCTCCCGGGGGGTACTCTTGGGAATTCGTGATGGGGGAGTGCCACCCTGTTCCCTAAATCCTGACTCTTTTTCAGTACAAAAAATGTCATTTTCACACACCCGTTTTCAGACCTGGTCCCAGTTGTTGGAAAGGTGGATAGCGCTATCCGCCAGATAAATCACTATGCAGCGGATAACGCATTCGGTTTTCGTAATACGTGTCCACTGGATAGTGACTTTATCCAGTGGAAAGCGCTATCCAACTTTTGAACAACCAGGGCCTGGCCTCTAAAATTCATCCCATTTTTTAGGCCTGAAGGAGGTCACAAAACGTAACATTACATTTTTACATAAAACAGAAATTACGTCATAATTGCTGAGATTAAAACCGCAATAACAAAACTGCTTAAAATCCATTTCGAATTCTCATATTACACTTTCTTTCATATTCATATGGAACTGAAACGACGAACACAGTAATACACAACCGTAGTTCCTTCGTAAACCATACCCGATTCCAGACCAAAATGGGCAAAATCTATGCCCATTTTCAGACCAAAACGGTGCAAAAACCCTACGCTTTGAGGGGGTACATACCTATATGGCTTATATAAGGAAGTACCCCCATCCCCCCTCCCCCCACCAGTTCCTTCCTATAGGTTTGGGACATTTCGCCCAATTTTGGACTATTTCAAGAAAGCGAAGGACGAGAAAAAGCTATAAGGCCATCACAGACGAAGAAGATTTGTTCTGGAGCAAAGGCTTATTAGGAATTGAATTGATATTAAATACAGTTTATTTCTATAATGGGAAACTCTTTGGTTTCTTTTGGGGAACACAGGAAGAGTATTACTGTAAGAAATACTAGGGCACGTGAGGATCGTCTTAGATTTGAAGAAAACAGCTCAAAGAGTTTTTCATGATTTGTGATCTCAAGTACGTTCCTCGTACTGCTACGCATATTTAGGGACTGTGCAAAAATTATCAGGAGGGTGGCTGAAAAACTAGATGGGGGGGGGCATTAAGTGATAATAATGTCAAGATAGGGGGGCTCAAATCAAAATTACTCTTATTACAGGGGGACCCCAACTTTCATTTTATGTCATGTCACTTTGCATTAAATTTTAAGAAGAATTAATTCTACATGTAAAACAGGAATAAATGTACTCTCAATTATGCTCAAAGTAGTTCTTAGAAAATGTGAAGTTTATTTAAAAAAATGTCATCACATTTTAAACATGTTACCATATTTTCCTTGTAAAAGAATTGATTTGTGTCATAACATTTTCCATAATCCTAGTATCCATTACAAGGCCAAATTCAACTAAAAACATAATTTGTCTCAAACAAACCATTTGTACTTAGATACTGTTCTATAAGACAGTTGTAAGTTCATTCGGCCCTCATGTGCAGAATTCCCAGACAATCTCCTCAGTGGGCTTCCCTGGCGAAACAGTTTGCCCTGCAAAGGTCGCGCAAGCATCCCTTGTCTGTCTTTGAGGTAAACATGTGTAGGGTTTCACAATCAACTGTTTCTAGTCTTGGAATACCAGATATGTCCGGCTCAAAGTCCTCTGCAAGGGGGACTCCTCCCAGGGAACGGAAAATAAGGCATGTTCTTTTTCTTCTGTTTTCACAAGCTGTGAGCTTCCTCTTTTCCTCTTTTCACCTTGTCTGCTCTTTCATTTTTCTTGCTTCAGATGTTGTGGACTTTGTGCCAATATGACGCCTTATATTTAGCCATTGCTCCGTCCAAGTCCTCAACAAGATGCAACACATCCTTTTCAACGCCAGACTTGATACAATGTCGTTTCTCATTGTTGAAATTGTGAAGGCAATTTAGGCCAGTCTTAAAGGGGCTGTGTCAATTGCTACCAAACTTAAAGTAAGCAAAGAAATTACAGGTAAATGACAAAATCAGAGATCCGAGACAAACAAATATGCCTCCTGAGCATTATTTTTGAAGTTGCAAACAGCAGGGATCAACTTTGAAAAACTGTTGGGCTGATCAGTTTTCAAAAACCCTAATTTCAATCCGTTTCAATCTTCTTCGGTTTTGCCCATCCGTGGCATCTGTTGTTTCTGTTATGTCATTTTAACCTTCCTTTAAAGTTTTAAGCGGTTATTTTTATGTTTCTCTTCATTTAACGGACATTTTGTAATTTCCTAATTTGGCTGAATTTCGCCGTGACACAGCTCCTTTAAGTTTGCCATCCTCCGTAAATAGGCTGTCATCATGTTTAGTTATTTTTTCTGTGATGGCATG